CATAGGCCTTCTCCTTCTTTATTTGTTGCTGCCTGCCCTTCCCCCGGCCATAGGACTTTTCCTTCTTTATTTGTTGCTGCCTGCCCTTCCCGCTGGCCATAGGACTTCTCCTTTATTTGTTGCTGCCTGCCCTTCCCCCAGCCATAGGACTTCTCCTTCTTTATTTGTGCTGCCTGCCCTTCCCACTGATGATACAGACAGTCTACGAAGACTTCCTATTTTCCAAAAATAATGCCCAGGTTACATTGCCATCCCTGTCTGTGTTTGCATGCCATGTACAGAACCTCTGCCTCCGAACTTAGGCCTGCCTGGCAGTATTTAAATAAAGGTGCCTAAATGCAATGCCAGCTTTGGCAATGGGGAATAAATATGTGATGCTTTAGTGCGCACTATTTTTTCGCACAAGTATATGGTGATGTACTGCAACCAAAGGGCAGCTTTTCCTGTGTCAACTACAGGTGGTCTGCGAACCCAAAGTTAAAAAAAAAACCCCCCAAAAACAAGAAAAATAAAATGATATATGGATGTGTGCTTCAGAAGAACCCTGGAAGTCAGAGGCGGCCATTAACAATTATTGGCAGTGTGACCCTACAATTTTTTTTTCAGATTTCCTTTAAAACTATAATTTTATTAAGACAGAAGTCAAAGATTTTTACAAACATTATGTCTCCATAAATATAAAAGGTTATACGAGCGCTAGGTAGTCAGAGTTATGAGCAGCTGCCATAAAGGTACAACCTCTGAAACTTCTGTACAAAACGAAACAATAAATGCAGCGCTAGGATTCTATATAATATGCTGAGCAAAACTTATCATGTAAATCCCGTGTATGCGCTGTGGAGCGCTCAGATATATGAAGGCGTATAAAACGTCTAGTGAAATGACGTTTAAATTGCAAAAGTGACATAAAAATAAAACACCAATAAACAATCAAATATCAATAAAAGTCCAAAAATGAAACATCCGGTGAATTCCGTGACTCCAGTGATTATGAATGAGTATATATTGCACTAACCAGACAGCGCAGAATAATCTGCATTTGAGTAATCAGAACACTCCTGGTCATCCGGATCTGGGAAGGTGAGAATCAGGGGATCATCTGGCAAACCACCGCAAGACAGGTAATCAGCGTGTCATCACTTTCCAGGTATCAGGGATACTCATCCATCCAGCGGGGGGGATCACTCTCCAGGTATCAGAGATACTCATCCATCCAGCGGGGGGATCACACTCCAGGTATCAGGGATGCTCATCCATCCAGCGGGGGGATCACACTCCAGGTATCAGGGATGCTCATCCATCCAGCGGGGGGATCACACTCCAGGTATCAGGGATACTCATCCATCCAGCGGGGGGATCACACTCCAGGTATCAGAGATACTCATCCATCCAGCGGGGGGATCACACTCCAGGCATCAGGGATGCTCATCCATCCAGCGGGGGGATCACACTCCAGGCATCAGGGATACACATCCATCCAGCGGGGGGATCACACTCCAGGCATCAGGGATGCTCATCCATCCAGCGGGAGATCACACTCCAGGCATCAGGGATACACATCCATCCAGCGGGGGGATCACACTCCAGGCATCAGAGATGCTCATCCATCCAGAGGGGGATCACACTCCAGGTATCAGGGATGCTCATCCATCCAGCAGGGGGATCACACTCCAGGCATCAGGGATACACATCCATCCAGCGGGGGGGTCACACTCCAGGCATCAGGGATACACATCCATCCAGCGGGGGGGTCACACTCCAGGCATCAGGGATACTCATCCATCCAGCGGGGGGGTCACACTCCAGGCATCAGGGATACACATCCATCCAGCGGGGGGATCACACTCCAGGCATCAGGGATACACATCCATCCAGCGGGGGGATCACACTCCAGGCATCAGGATACACATCCATCCAGCGGGGGGGATCACACTCCAGGCATCAGGGATACACATCCATCCAGCGGGGGGATCACACTCCAGGTATCAGGGATACTCATCCATCCAGCGGGGGGATCACACTCCAGGCATCAGAGATGCTCATCCATCCAGAGGGGGGATCACACTCCAGGTATCAGGGATGCTCATCCATCCAGCAGGGGGATCACACTCCAGGCATCAGGGATACACATCCATCCAGTGGGGGGGTCACACTCCAGGCATCAGGGATACACATCCATCCAGCGGGGGGATCACACTCCAGGCATCAGGGATACACATCCATCCAGCGGGGGGATCACACTCCAGGCATCAGGGATACACATCCATCCAGCGGGGGATCACATCTCTGATACCTGGAGTGTGATGACACGCTGATTACCTGTCTTGTGGTGATTTGGCAAATGATCCCCTGATCCTCACCTTCCCAGATCCGAATGACCAGGAGTGTTCTGATTACTCAAATGCGGATTATTTCTGCGCTGTCTGGTTAGTGCAATATATACTATATAATATAATATAATAACTGGAGTCACGGAATTTACCGGATGTTTCATTTTTGGACTTTTATTGATATTTGATTGTTTATTGGTGTTTTATTTTTATGTCACTTTTGCACTTTAAACATCATTTCACTAGACGTTTTATACACCTTCATATATCTGAGCGCTCCACAGCGCATACACGGGATTTACATGATAAGTTTTGCTCAGCATATTATATAGAATCATAGCGCTGCATTTATTGTTTAATTATGTCTCCATGAATACATTTCTTTTTTTTTTCTTAATCATAATTTTTCTTAAATTTTTCTCAACAAAAAGAAAAAAAAAATGACATAATCTCTCATAGAATCACATAAGACCATACAGTTCACACATCTTATAACATAGTATTGCAGCGCCCCTCTAGCAAGCTAGGGGGAGCTAGTTAGCTGTTTTTAGTTAGGCTGAGTAGCAGTCTGGGCAATAGTCAGCTGGCCCAATTTTAGGTCTTGACTGAGAGGCTCTGCAGGTCAGTTCTCTGTTACCGCCCCCTGCTCCTTGCTGCCACCACTACAAACGCCCAGTCACCCAACAATGGCTGGAACCAAGTGTTCTGTCTTTGCCAGCGAACTGCATCTGTGTTACTGCCTGGATTCACTGCTTCAAAAGCCTGCAAACCAATCAGCACATTCCCGCCTGGAGAAGCAGGGGCTAACACCAGCACGGGAAAGGTCCTGCACCACAGTCTCACTGGCGCCAAAGTGTCCGAAGGAGGGGCATTACCAGGCCCTTAAGTCTGCCCAGTACACCCAGCATTCTGTGAGAAAGCATGGGAGGAGGAAGATGGGGGCTGCACTACAGGTGTACCCACATGTTTTATGGCTGGAGATTACCCTGGTGGACACAGGGGTTCACCTGAAGCATAATGGAGGTGTCAAGAGAACCAGAGAGCACACAGAGACAGATTGCATGGAACCCAACGTGAGGCGTTTATTGGGGAGGTTTTTGGGGCACAGACAACAGTTCCTTCAATCCACAGATCCACACCAGACACAGCAACACAGTACAGTTCTCTGGAAGGCAATATGGAACAACAGGGGTATGGTAATCCACAGGGTTCAGTCTTTTGGGCAGCACGGGGTTAGTCCACTTACTGGATGCGGGGAGCCAGACACAGAAGGTTACAGTCCACACCGGCAACACAGGGTTAACCCACACAGGCAGTTCCAGGCAGGGAAGGGTTAAGTCTGTTCGGCTCATGGGCAACAAAGGGTTAAATCCAGCCAGGGAAGATCTCCAGCCCACAGTCTCACAGGAAACAGGAGGTAAGTCCGGGCAGGGAAGGGGTTCCAGGCACAGAGAGTTCATCCCACACCAGAGAGGATCCAGCAGCAGACAGACAGTCCAGTCAGTCAGGGAGATAAGGAGGGGGATGGGGGATGGTCATATGAGAGAAGCTGGCACTCAGCACAGTCTTCCCTCACACACGCAGCCAGGAGAACAGAAGGGGTTTTTCCCTGCTCACCCTTAAGTATAGAGCTTGGCGCCTTGTGGTAACCCGAGATTCCCTGTTGGGTTACCATGGCAATGGGCCCTGTTTCCCAGGTCTCCAAAACGCCAGGGAACAAGGCCTTTGTCCCTGTCTGGCAGGAAGATGTGCATGAGGGGGAAGGAAGGAGTAGGCCTGTTTGTGGATTCCCTCAGCAGGGGGCCAGACTGCAGGCGTGGGGGGTGAGGGGCTGCTGAGGGCTGCCTGTGTCAGGGACACAGAGGACTAGAAGTCCTAGCATGGACGGGACAGAAGGGTGAGGGGATGCTGAGGGATAGGGGGGGTGGCAGGCAGCAAGCCTAGAGGATGGGGGGGGAGGGCCAGCTCCGTGACAGGAGGCTTTGCTCTAGGGCTAGTGGAAGGAGCGGAGAGGCTATGTTTGCCTCTCGGCCTTTTGGCTAAGATCAAGTGTAGTATCTGTTCTTATGAGTGTCCAGTAAGGCTGCCATTCTTGCCTTTTGGTGAGGATGGTTGGCTGTATAGTACAGGAGATGACCAGAGACTGCAGACATTGAACAGGAGATGACCAGAGACTGCAGACATAGTACAGGAGATGATCAGAGGCTACGGACACAATACAGGAGATGACCAGAGACTGCAGACATAGTACAGGGGATGACCAGAGACTGCGGACACAGTACAGGAGATGACCAGAGACTGCGAACACAGTACAGGAGATGACCAAAGACTGCGGACACAGTACAGGAGATGACCAGAGACTGCGGACACAGTACAGGAGATGACCAGAGACTGCGGACACACAGTACAGGAGATGACCAGAGACTGCGGACACAGTACAGGAGATGACCAGAGACTGCGGACACAGTACAGGGGATGACCAGAGACTGCGGACACAGTACAGGAGATGACCAGAGACTGCGGACACAGTACAGGAGATGACCAGAGACTGCGGACATAGTACAGGAGATGACCAGAGACTGTGGACACAGTACAGGAGATGACCAGAGACTGCGGACAGTACAGGGGATGACCAGAGACTGCGGACACAGTACAGGAGATGACCAGAGACTGCAGACATAGTGCAGGAGATGACCAGAGACTGCGGACACAGTACAGGAGATGACCAGAGACTGCAGACATAGTGCAGGAGATGACCAGAGACTGCGGACATAGTACAGGAGATGACCAGAGACTGCGGACATAGTACAGGAGATGACCAGAGACTGCGGACACAGTACAGGAGATGACCAGAGACTGCGGACAGTACAGGGGATGACCAGAGACTGCGGACACAGTACAGGAGATGACCAGAGACTGCAGACATAGTGCAGGAGATGACCAGAGACTGCGGACACAGTACAGGAGATGACCAGAGACTGCGGACACAGTACAGGACCTTTTGGGAGTGGAGAGGAGGGAGCAGGTACCTGAATTTGACAGGTACCCGCTCCCACTTCCGTGGAGTTGTCCTCCCTCCCCATCTTCTGAGACATGTGACAGGTCCCAGAAGACTGCCAGACCATTCCCAAAGTGCAGCACATCTCGCACATGCACAGTGGGCACCTGGCTGTGAAGCCGCAACCTGTCACAGCCGGGTGCCCACACTAAAGATGCCGGGGTTGGGGAGAGAAGACGGTGAGGACACCGCAGGCCTGAGGAACAGGTAGGACCAAGGAGCAGGTTCTGCTGCACAGAAGAGTCGAGCGTCCAGCCCAGTATTCTAACATGGCGGCGGCAGGAATACAGGGCCGGCCACTCCTTATTAGCTCCATAAGACGCAAAGACATTTCCCCCCATTTCCCTCCACTTTGGAGCAAAAATGCGGTATTTTATGGTCCTTTATTTGTCCAACCCCCCGGCTAGAAAATTGCTGAGTAATTATTAACAGTATCAAAAATGCCTTTTTTATTATCGCTTGGTTCACTCTCCACCATGTCGCATGTATACATATCTTACATCTCACTTTTATGTGTCTTTTTTTTTCATTTGCTCAAGGATGGTAGTGTGTGAGTCTTTGGGCCTACCCTGAAATCTAAGGGGAGGATGTATGGCCATTAGGTTCCTTCATCTCCTACCTTGGGGGGGGGGAGTCTCTCTTTGGGACTCCCTACCTTAGGGGGCTTTTCCTTTCAAGGAGGGAACCAAAAGACACACTGTAGTAAACTTTTTTTAAAATCTATAATGATTTAACCCCTTCCCGTCCGGCCCATGTATATAAACGGCTGGACGGTGGCAGTGCAGGGGCGGGTTGTCATTCATAACCGGCGCCATTTTGGACTGTATGCGCTCCCTGGGAGCGCGTGGCACCTGTGTGAGGTCTGGATCATGTGATCACTGATTGGCCAACCAGTGATCACATGAACAGTAGTAAGCAAGATGTCACTTCTGACCTCATTGCTTACTACGTGTGAAATTTGTGAATGATCACATGGTACAGGGCCATTCACAACAGCCTTGTACCATGTGACTGTAAGCCGTGTACCGGGGAGGGCTCCCCAGGATACAGCGAAGTCACGAACGAAGAAAGCAACCCTAACACCAGCTTTTGTCACAACAGAATTTTACTTAGATGCGGCAAATAAACACAACCACAAATGCTGGGAACATACAATAAATTTACATACACCCAGCCCAAAGGCTGAGACCCTTGTGCTGCACAGCACGGCGCCCTCTGATGGATGAAGGTAGAAAGTGAAGTAATTTACCTACTGGGGGGCACAACTAAGCTGCCACACCTTACCTGTTATCACCCTACAGAGCAGGAATCAGTGTATGGGGGTACGGTATGGACTAGTCTGCGGTGCAGCACAACAGCTTACAATCTTACACAGATCTACAGTATCCCCCCCCCCCATAACTGATCCTGTAGCACGTGCCTGAGTATTCCTTCTGAGCAAAACACCACTCTGGCTTGAGTTTGTGGGATTTTATCAGCTCTCCAATGTGAAATGTCACTTTAAGTTGTGGAGTCCTTCCAATGATCAGTAACACTTGTGGCCTGACACGGAGACCCTAACTAACTATAGGCCTGTCTCAGTCCTATAGGCGCCAACACTGAAATGAGGTGTGTGCACGATCTTACCGACCCGGGTCTGCTTTGCATCCGCTGGTGACTCCGAACAGAACAAATGTCTCTCCAACAAGCATGCGGTCTCGCCGTATATGTTGCTTAGTTCCTCTGCTCTCATCAGCATTCCTGGCAGCAATCTCATCAGCTTCACTTAGCTGCAGCTCTGGTTACGGAGGGATGCTTTCACACCTGAATGTCATCAGATTCTCAGCTCACACAGCCCCTGCATTCACCATCCTCCAAACATGGCTGCTCTCTCTCCTCTTCCTGTTCCCTCAACTCTGTGTGAAAACTCCACCTTTTCATGAATATAGAAATATCTATGCAGTCCGAGGCTGTGTTAGAAAAACAGTGACATCTTGTGGCTAAACTGCAGAATGTCAAGCAAAACATTTAATTTACTCCACACAAGCAGTATTCAAACAATGAGAGCTGTTTCCCCATCTCACATGACAAGCTGTGACCAATTACAGCTCACACAGTATTTCTCAATGGCTGCAAGAATGCAGCCAGAGAGAAGGAGAAGTTATTGCTTTTACAGCCTTTATGGGTGTAAAAGCAATCAGTGTAAAAAAAGAAAAATCTTCATCACCCCCCACAAGCAGTACAGTGTCACCATGGTGATACTACTGCTAGGGTGACAGTATGTAAAAAAAAAAAACATAAATAATTATATAAAAAATAAAATAAAAATGTAAAAAGAATATTTTGAAAAATTATAATTTTTGGTTATAAAACTAATTTGGGTAATTTTTTTTTTTTACTAAAAGATAACAGAATAAATTTTGGCCAAGATTTATGAGGAAAGATTATTTGTTTGCAAAATTTAATAAGAAAAACACTTTTTTTTTCAAAATTATTGGACTTTTTCATTTATATAGCAAAAAAAATAAAAATCTCAGCGGTGAATAAATACCACCAACATAAAGTTGTATCTGTCTAAAAAAAAAAATGCTAAAACATTCATAAGGGTACAGTGTTGCATGACCGCGCAATTGTCATTCAAAGTGTAACAGCGCTGAAAGCTGAACATTGGCCTGGACTGGAAGGGGGTGAAAGTGTCCGGACTGGAAGGGGGTGAAAGTGTCCGGACTGGAAGGGGGGGGAAAGTGTCCGGACTGGAAGGGGGGAAAGTGTCCGGACTGTAAGGGGGGTGAAAGTGTCCGCACTGGAAGGGGGTGAAAGTGTCCGGACTGGAGGGGGGGGGGAAAGTGTCCGGACTGGAAGGGGGGGAAAGTGTCCGGACAGGAAGGGGGTGAAAGTGTCCGCACTGGAAGGGGGTGAAAGTGTCCGGACTGGAAGGGGGGGGAAAGTGTCCGGACTGGAATGGGGGAAAGTGTCCACACTGGAAGCGGGTGAAAGTGTCCGGACTGGAAGCGGGTGAAAGTGTCTGGACTGGAAGGGGGGGGGAAAGTGTCCGGACTGGAAGGGGGTGAAAGTGTTCGGACTGGAAGGGGGGGGGGGGGGGAAGCGTCCAGACTGAAAGGGGGGGAAAGTGTCCGGACTGGAAGTGGGTGAAAGTGTCCGGACTGGAAGGGGGTGAAAGTGTCCGGACTGGAAGTGGGTGAAAGTATCCGGACTGCAAGGGGGGGAAAGTGTCCGGAATGGAAGGGGGGGGGAAAGTGTCCGAACTGGAAGGGGGTGAAAGTGTCCGGACTGGAAGGGGGTGAAAGTGTCCGGACTGGAAGTGGGTGAAAGTGTCCGGACTGCAAGGGGGGGAAAGTGTCCGGAATGGAAGGGGGGGGGAAGTGTCCGAACTGGAAGGGGGTGAAAGTGTCCGGACTGGAAGGGGGTGAAAGTGTCCAGACTGGAAGGGGGGTGAAAGTGTCCGAACTGGAAGGGGGTGAAAGTGTCCGGACTGGAAGGGGGGTGAAAGTGTCCGGACTGGAAGGGGGGTGAAAGTGTCCGGACTGGAAGGGGGTGAAAGTGTCCGGACTGGAAGAGGGGGAAGTCTCCTGACTGGAGGGGGTGAAAGTGTCCGGACTGGAAGGGGGGGAAAGTGTCCGGACTGGAAGGGGGTGAAAGTGTCCGGACTGCAAGGGGGGAAAGTGTCCGGACTGGAAGTGGGTGAAAGTGTCCGGACTGGAAGGGGGTGAAAGTGTCCGGACTGGAAGTGGGTGAAAGTATCCGGACTGCAAGGGGGGGAAAGTGTCCGGAATGGAAGGGGGGGGGAAAGTGTCCGAACTGGAAGGGGGTGAAAGTGTCCGGACTGGAAGGGGTTGAAAGTGTCCGGACTGGAAGGGGGTGAAAGTGTCCGGACTGGAAGTGGGTGAAAGTGTCCGGACTGCAAGGGGGGGAAAGTGTCCGGAATGGAAGGGGGGGGGGGAAGTGTCCGAACTGGAAGGGGGTGAAAGTGTCCGGACTGGAAGGGGGTGAAAGTGTCCAGACTGGAAGGGGGGGTGAAAGTGTCCGAACTGGAAGGGGGTGAAAGTGTCCGGACTGGAAGGGGGGTGAAAGTGTCCGGACTGGAAGGGGGGTGAAAGTGTCCGGACTGGAAGGGGGTGAAAGTGTCCGGACTGGAAGAGGGGGAAGTCTCCTGACTGGAGGGGGTGAAAGTGTCCGGACTGGAAGGGGGGGAAAGTGTCCGGACTGGAAGGGGGGGTGAAAGTGTCCGGACTGCAAGGGGGGAAAGTGTCCGGAATGGAAGGGGGTGAAAGTGTCCGGACTGGAAGGGGGTGAAAGTGTCCGGACTGGAAGGGGGTGAAAGTGTCCGGACTGGAAGGGGGTGAAAGTGTCCGGACTGCAAGGGGGGAAAGTGTCCGGAATGGAAGGGGGGGGAAAGTATATGAACTGGAAGGGGGTGAAAGTGTCCGGACTGGAAGGGGGTGAAAGTGTCTGGACTGGAAGGGGGTGAAAGTGTCCGGACTGGAAGGGGGGTGAAAGTGTCCGGACTGGAAGAGGGGGAAGTCTCCTGACTGGAGGGGGTGAAAGTGTCCAGACTGGAAGGGGGTGAAAGTGTCCGGACTGGAAGGGGGTGAAAGTGTCCGGACTGGAAGGGGGGGAAAGTGTCCGGACTGGAAGGGGGGGAAAGTGTCCGGACTGGAAGGGGGGGAAGTCTCCTGACTGGAGGGGGTGAAAGTGTCCGGACTGGAAGGGGGTGAAAGTGTCCGGACTGGAAGGGAGTAATGTAACTATATGAAGCCTTCTAATGTACACAGCGATGATCCGGAATACTCAGACCAGTTCTGTGAAATCTGTTTACCATATCTTTAGGTTTTTTATACTTTATTTGCTCATATAAGTCCTCCAACATCAGAGAACATTTTCTGACACAGCTTTCTATTTCCTCCTTAGATAAAAGTATCGGCGAGGAAATGTTACAGATGAGGAATGGTGAGCGTATAAGGATTCCGGATTGGTGTTGAATTGCTTTGGCAATTAGTTCAAATACACATCGTGAAATCTTAGTCGGTGGAACGGGACACTGCAATGTGGTGCCTCATTCAAAATATTGCATCCTGAGCATGTGCATGTATCGTGGGACACAGCAAAGGGGCGCAAGGCTCCTGACAGGGACAAAGGTTTCCAACATGGTCCACCTAGTCAAAAGGCCTGGCAGACCTCTCTCCTTGTGATCAATCGAAGCCAACCAACAAG